ATCCCATTATTAGAGTAGGGCTGAAGACAGTGCTGTTTCCCTTTTCAACCTTAGTTTTAGTGCCCTGAGATGTTGTTCCCAATTTATCACAATCTAGGAATGTTTATTCAAAAATTATGTCAGACAGCAGTAAAGTTTTAAAAAATATATAACAGATTTTTTTTACCCCTGACCCAGGAAATGTAGCATCATTCTTTATAACACGTGTGTTGTTGTCTTGCTTTTCATTTTGTATGACTAACTTTTATACCAAATTGAATAAGCCATTAGCTTTTAGTCTGTAGGAATGTGGATCCATAGATATTTCCCATTAGGCAAAAGAGAATCTATAAAAGTGGTATCTCCTGAGGCTCGGTCTTCCTCACTGGCCTAATGGTGTAAAACACTGCTACACTGTACCCTTATGAGAAAGAACCATGTGGGACGATTCCCTTAACATCTAGAACTATTAATCGGAGAGTTGTGCACATTCAGATAACTTTTGGACTGGACCTCATTTATTAATCAAATATTCCAATTCAGAGAATTCGTGTTATAGATTTTATATTTTTGAAACTATTACTGAACAAAATGATAAACTTTGCATATCTTGTGTAGTTTAAAATTTGAGTTTGCTGAAATGGGAGATACTATGTTTAGGTGGCTATGTTGTTTTGACAAGTTTTTTTTTTTTTTTTTAAAGATTTTATTTATTTATTTGACAGAGAGAGACATAGTGAGAGCAGGAACAAGCAGGGGGAGTGGGAGAGGGAGAAGCAGGCTTCCCGCCGAGCAGGGAGCCCGATGCGGGGCTCGATCCCAGGACCCTGGGATCATGACCCGAGCCAAAGGCAGACGCTTAACGACTGAGCCACCCAGGCGCCCTGACAAGTGTTTTTTTAAAGAACTTCTCCTCCTTAAAACGGACCTCCTCTGGTGATGGTTGCACAATTCTGCGAATATACTAAAACCTACTGAAGTATACACTTCAAAAAGGTGAATATGTGGTAGGTGAGTTCTATCTCCATAAAGCAGTTATTAAAAAAATTTCCACCACACAAAATATTTTCATAGGTGCAAACTAATAGAATTTTAACTTATATTCACAATGAAAACCAGTGTTACCTTTAATAAACATTTAAAGCTTTAGAAATATGAAGTCATGTGTGAATTAAAAAATAACTTGTGTTCTTATTGAACAGTAATGCACGTTTGTATGGGAACTTCAGAAACTACAAATAAGAAAAAAGACATTTTAGAAAATGTGTGGGGCTTTTAATAGTCACATCTAGCATGTATTCTATCCCTAAGCCTTCCCTATATTTAACTATGTCCTCGGTATCCATACTTTTCTTGCCAGCTTTCATTAGGAATAAATAGCTTTTCATGACTGCCTTAGGAAAACAACCAGATGTAAAAAATATCTTCTTATAAGTAGTTTAGTGAAAGCATTGCCCCCACCCCCCTTTGCCCCCCCAGACTGCGAGAGGTGTCAGTGGAGGTGAACAATAACACCGTTATCCAAAGAAATACAATACATATATTGCAGAGTAGCTTTGGATGTACAATCAGTTTGGGACTTTGTTGTAAAAATTAGCTTTAAAACATTTTGGCTTTAAGGTGAAAACTCAGAATCTTGGGCAGAATGGTGGCATCGATTCTCACCTAGGCAGAATATTCTCTCTTTTTAAAAACTCTTGTTATCATATTTAGCATTAGCTTTCTAACAGCTAAAATTGTTCACAACACAGTTTAAAGATAAATGCAGTATCAGGCTTTGAATTTTTTATTTTTTTGGTAAATATTAAGACCTGAGTACAAAATGAGGGCTGTACTGTGGATTAAGTGAAGTATCTCAAGGCTGTGCTGTTCTGATAACTGAACCTGAAGTGACCTTTCTCAGACACAATTACAGAGCTGTATGTTTTTACTTTAATTTCATCAGGGGTTTAATTAGTATACAAATAAAACTTCCCTTATCTTCCTTTCTACCTAATTGGCTTGTCTTCGCTTCTATATGAAGTATGTGAAAGTGGGCTGTAATTAGGGTGACCGTGTTAACCTTTTTTCCTCAAATGTACTGTTGCCTAAAGGCCTCAAGGCCTAAAAACAGTGCTTTGGATTATTGCTTTGCAATCACTATGGCTGTCCCACAGGTTTTCTCATGAGCAGAAGGGCTTTGGGTGCTGCGGGTTCCCACTGCTTAACAGGATCTTCATTCTTCTCCCCACTAAATGTTTATTGATTATCTCACTGTTCCAGGCTCAGCCTCCAACAACTTAATATCAGGTGACAGTCAGGAGAGTTCTCCAAGTAATTAGAGTTGAGCATTGGGGGAACAATTAGGAGCAGAGTTATTAAACTTGATTTATCCTAGTCTCTCCTGAACAGTTTCTTGGATATCAGAACATCACACTTTCACAATCTACCCTGGTTGAGAAATTAGTGGTTAACCTGCTGCTTATCATTGTTGCCTTGCTGCCTAGGGGCACACCCTCTTGGTTTCAGTCATTCGGCTGGAAATATTAGAGTCCATAAAGTTTATGGTGGGTTTTAATTAGATAAACCTGAACAAGAGAAAAGAAAAGCTGAACTTAAAGTTTTATATAAATATGTAACATATACTATATTTTATATATGGTAAGGTACACACGTATATACATTATACACACACATATAAATATGTTTTTCTTTCTTCGAACTCAGTGTTGAGATTTTTAAAGATTTCTACTTCTATCATCAAAACCAAAAAAGGTGAATATTAGGGAAGAGACATAATATTGAACCACTTTTAATGTCTCGGTGTTTTGCGCACATCTTTATGAACCTTAGGACCCACTGATTTATGTGGATTCCACTGTAATGTACCTCAACTTTTTAACAATGGGAATTCTGTGTCTATAACTTATGGCACTATGAGTACTATCTCTTCATTTTCACAATAATGAAGTGTGACTTACACTGCTTTGTTTACACCACTTTTTGTTCATTTTCTGCAATTTCAGTCTTAGAACGGGCTAAGTTCAGCTATTCTGAGATAGGGCAAGCTTTAGGAGACTTTGGTGGCTCCCTGCCATTGTCCCTGAGAAATGAAAACGAAAGCCAGGGGAAAACAAGAAAATTTGGATATATAGTAGAAATTTGAATTCTGTGAGTTATAGGGTCTTTGAAAGGATGGCGTAAGAGTGCTGAAAAGTCAAGTGTGGTTTTGCGATGATGCCAGGGTCGTGGGTTTCTCTCAGACTGGACCGGTGAACTTCACTGTGGACCAGGCTAGAGGCAGCACCCTGAACACCCCTCACAAATATCCACGGCTAGTCATGACAGTTACTGAGCAAGAGAGGTGGAACGGATTGGCACAAACCCATTATTTCTGTTGGAAAAAGAATTCGAACTTTTTGCATAACTGGTAGTGGATCATTAGTTTTATCTTCATATCTGAAAAATAGCATTTTTTATTAACTGAAAGATGTCAGAAATACTGGCTTTAAAAGGACTCAAATGGATTTTACTTTTTTAAATCGAGAAATCTCATGATACTTCAATGCCTTTAAATATCTTAACATTGGCACAAAATCCCTGGGTTTAGCATGGCCTTTAACAATCTATTCTTTGTTGTCTTTTTAAAGTTGGTTTGAATCAGTGACTGTTCTATAGTGGGATGTTCTTGATGATCTGTTAACATTGAAGATTAAAATAAAATATTATATCTAATAAGTAATCACCGTTTGCTTATTTTTAATTTTTTAAACTTACATTTGTCTGTGGGCAGCTTGATTGTTTGAAAAGTGAAATACTGAATTTAAAAACTTTTACCATTTTAAAATACCTGATTTGACTGCTGATTGCTTCCAATGTACTAGCATTTAGAGTGAGTTAACTGTTTTAGCTCTATGCAGGCTGTTTGAGTTTTCTATGCTACCTATTGTGAATGCATTATTTTAAACATGAAATTATAGCATTTTGGTTATTCTTAACTGGATATTTGAAGCATAGCAGTGGACATTAATGTGTGCCTAAACTCTGAGAAAGAAGAAGATATTATGTCTATGTAACCAATTGTTTAGGTCACTGTATAACAAATTTAGTTGAAAAACTAGTAAGCTCATATTCTAGAAATTTCATTGGCAAAGGAATGAGCAGATTTTTAGTGCTAAGGGATCCTGTGATCCCTGTCTAGAAAATACTCCTTTAAATTGTGAGGTCTGATTCTATGACCTTTAGCCCTAAAGTTCCAAAATAGAGTCGTGCACTCACGTCTTGAAATTTTTGTGCTAAGGGAATATTTCAGATTAAAGCAAAGAGCAAAATATCAATCAACAGATTTTATACTTCTGTGAGTAGAAAAATATTTATGGAACATAATTCTGAATGCAAGTATTATTTGTAGCTTTCTCTGTTAGATGAAAGGTGTTAATCGCGTTTGTGCTGTTATCTTTGACATGCGAGTTACTTAATGGGAAGTAAATGAGTTTTACTATGGAGTCCAGTTATTTCACTGAGATGTCTATAGCAACCTGTTTTGGATCTATTCATAAATAAAGTAATGGTATTTTTCAATCTTGGGTTCCCCATTCTCTTGGTAATCCTTATCCACCTTCCCCTCACTCACATACACACTTTGTCCATATGCTTGTTCTTGTTTCGAATAGACTGTAAATTTCATGTGCTTTCTCCCCTGAAAATCTTTACTTCTTCATCATTCAAAGAAAAGGTAACTGAAGGTTTTCATAATGAGATGTTTTTTTTTGCAAGAATAAAATGTATTTGCCCTTCAGTATTTTAAAAAAAATAAAATAGTTGTATTTTGTAGCTAAATATTTTTCAAAATTTTATCAGAGCTATCATTTCTAATTAGTAAGTATGTAAAATTTTTGCAGAAAATTTGTTAAACTTTGATGTGTAATGACCCAAGTCTGCTTCTCAGTCAGTCTGTATCCTTCTTTGTTTAATAGCCTATGGCATAAATTGAAGTTAATTATCAGGGCTGACAAGTAACTCTGTTTTCTGTCTGCTTGCAGAGTCTCTCCGAGGCAAAGATGGAGCTGAGAAGAAAAGATCAATCTCTGCGTCAGCTCAATAGACATCTCACCCAGCTGGAGCAGGACAAGCGTCGGCTGGAGGAGAACATCCACGATGCAGAGAGTGCCCTCCGCATGGCAGCCAAGTGAGCACTCGGACCTTGGGGAGATCACTTAAAACAGACAAAAGATCAATTCTTACTTTCATGCTCTGGGTTTTAGCCCTGGATAATACAGTGTTAGAAAACAAAAGTACAGCTGTCTCTCTTTGAAATTCTCTGATATATTCTCAAAAAAGAAAACTCTTAACTCAACATGCTAAATGTATATTTTATTGAGAAACCTTGGAAAGGTGTTAAGTTTCTATATAACCTCGAATTATGTGTATTTTGGGCTCTGTTGTAGTGTTACACGTTTGAAACCATGATTTCATTAATATGAAATGGAATACTCTTTATTTAAAAGTTTTTCATAGTTCCTTCTATCACATATTCCTCATCCCCTTCTGCCCCATTGCCCCCCAAATTTTGCTTTGCATATGGTCTACTAATATTGTAAGTAATATTTCCATAAAAAAATGCTAGTATATAATCAACACGTGTATCATAATGTCTTTTTAAGTGCAATAAAAACATATAGATCATGGAAAATTCATTTAATTTTATAGCTGTATATTCTAATATGTTCAATAGAAAAAATACACAGTTTTCAGAGTGGGCAGCTATAATAATGCGATGAGAATGTTTTTCCTTTTACCAGGTAATCAAGTTGACATACACTGTGCAGTTCAAATTGAACAGTTCTCTCTTGGGTATTTTTATTTGTTCCTCACATCAAATTTCATGGACTACTTTAAGACAGTCCTTTGTACAACAGCATGGCTTAAAGAAAATCTATTTATGGATTAAAGAACATCTAACTTTAATAAACTCAGTATTTCCTGAATTTGGAATTCTGAGTCCCTGTAATTTTAAATATAAATATAAATATATATATTTACATATATATTACTTAAATTTTTTTTTGAGACAATGTAGATTGTAAACTAAATCACAGAACAGGGGATCTGCCATCTAGGATATCCACAACTTTGCCACTGGGCTTGGGAAATTGCTCACACTAATGAAAAAATGAGTTTACACAAGGCCAAAATATTGGCAGGTTTGAATGCCCACCGGTAGTTTTCTGGAAAATCGTGAAGTGCCGTAATTTTGCACCACCATATTAGGTATATGTGATTGTCAGTTTTTAAAAATATGAATTTGACTAAATCAGCTTTTTGTTGTCATTGTTCAGTCTTTCTCCTTATGGCAAGTGGAAAGCTTAGCCTAGGTTATTTCCAGTGCGTCTTGCAGCTCTAAAAATTCTTAGATGAATAGGAACAAGATTATAAAGTCTCCAGATTCATATTGTGTCTCCAAAACATTGCTGCTAATTCGGGGATCTGTACATGTCTATGATCTGTGACCATGGGCACATGTTCTTATAGCACGAAAGAAAGTTAATTTGAGATTTGGAGAGCTAATACATTATTTACAGCTTTCAATTTATAATTTACCATTAAATTTTTGTCTTCGGTATTTTAATCCAAACTTTTAATTTAGTTTTACTTTTATTGAAGTGTAGTTGGCATACAGTATTGTACTAGCTTCACGTATACAACATAGTGTTTCAATGTCTGTACAATGTCTGTACATTGTACAGTAAGAAGTGCTCACCACGTTAAATCTAGCTGCCATCTGTCACCATGTAACATTGTTCTGATGTTAACTATTTTCCCCTTACTGTACATCCAAACTTTTTATTTCATTATTGAGGCCAAATTCAATCTACAAGGCTGATAGAAGAAACTAGTAACTTTGCCTGTTTTTAGTCAAGGTCATAGAGGGTTTTTGTGCAATTATAACACAAAGAGCCTATGTAGAAAGGAAAATATTATTTTGCATAGTATGGCCATTCAAAATGTATCTCCACCACTATGATTTTTAAAATCTCTTTCATTAGGGCGCCTGGGTGGCTCAGTTGGTTAAGCGACTGCCTTCGGCTCAGGTCATGATCCTGGAGTCCCTGGATCGAGTCCCGCATCGGGCTCCCTGCTCGGCGGGGAGTCTGCTTCTCCCTCTGACCCTCCCCCCTCTCATGTGCTTGCTCTCTCTCATTCTCTCTCTCTCAAATAAATAAAATCTTAAAAAAATAAATAAATAAAATCTCTTTCATTAGAAACCAAAAGAATGAAAGTTCTTTCTAGCACATTTTAAACCAATAAGGTAATCATTCTTTTTTCTTTTTTCTTTCTTTTTCACTTAAAAAAAAATTTCTATTATTTATTTATTTTGTCACTCTTATTTTTTTAAACCTTGAATATATCCTTAAGATTTTTTTCCCTCTCTAATTTATGGCAGGCAATATAACTAAAGATAAGAGTTAAATGCAGAAATATACCAGGGAGTGTGGTTAGGTTTTGCACTTTTAGAAGGAGTACAATAATAACCAAACCTTATTTTTCAATAATATCTACTTACACTAAAATGTGTAACAGTTGTTGTAAGACTTGGGTTTTACTAATACCTCATTTTAATTTTTTTTCTAGAGACAAAGAATGTGTTGCTAATCATATGAGAACAGTAGAAAATATGCTTCATAAGGTACTATAATTTTCCTTCAATATCATTCAACTTGTGTTAGGATGTTGTTTTCCTAGTCATTAATTTTATTAACCTCAAGATATTTTAATTCATTTTGTAACTGTCTTTAAAAGTAAATTAACAAAAAGATCCTTCCAAATAACTAAAAGTTTGTATTATACAATGTGATATTTCATAACTTTCTTCAGAATTCACTTTATTTACTTGATAAAACTATAAAAATAGTGGTTTCTCCCAACTGGTATAATTGCACTTGAGTTATTTGTGGTCTTTGCTGACTGAACCAGAGGTCATTATGATTCTTACATGTCTCATATGATAAAATGTTTGACCACACTGTCTAACCTCTTACCACTCTCAAACCTACTATCCTATATATGTATATAAGAGAGGAGCCATAATGTATTGTGTTTGGCAGTACTTTTCAAGTTGTAATTTACCGTATTATAAGAATGTGTTCTTAAACTAGAAATTGAATATATTTAATAATACTCTTATTTTCAAATTTGATTACTTCTGTATAAGTTAACATTTACTTTGTAGTGATGAGTAGCACTTAAGGATGTTATATTACTAAAAACTTAATGTATTAACTCACTGTATATTTTTTTAACATTCCACAGTCAAAGATATGTTCATTTCATTATTTAAAAGTAGAGAAACATAATTTATGTGTGTCTATTATTGTTTAATAGACAATTTTTTAGAAATAAGGATACCTAGTACTTTTAAGATACGTGGAATTCATGAATGAATCATATTTATAGTAATTTTGGGCATCAAATTTATTATATAATATAGTTTTGTAAGTCACTTAAAAATACCCAAAAAACAAAGCCTTTTAAAAAGCAGATATTAAATAAACATTAGCAAACTAATATTTAATATATTTTAACATTTTAGAAACGCTAGCCCTCTATTTTTTCTTTAATTTTTAAAAAAGATTTTATTTATTTATTTGACAGAGAGAGAGCGAGAGAGCACAAGCAGGGGGAGCAGCAGAGGGAGAGGGAGAAGCAGACTCCCCGCTGAGCAGGGAGCCTGATGCGGGGCTTGATCCCTGGACCCTGGGATCATGACCTGAGCCGAAGGCAGCCGCTTAACCGACTGAGCCACCCAAGCGCCCCTCTCTATTATTTTAGATATTGAAAGTGACTAACATTATTTCATATCACCAAAAGCACTTTCAAAAAAACCTCATATTCTGAATGCTATGTTTTAAAGTAGTATTGTTTGGAACTGTGATTTCTCCCCCTCCCCACTTAAAAAAGTTTAGTCAGTCAGTATAGTGTAAACATAGTCACATCAAATCCATATATGCTGGAAACCTGAAATTTGACTTGTAGGAAAAGAGACATCTTTGGTTAGAATTTTTTGCACTTGGTGAGACCTTTGATAGGAGAAATCAGTTATGTTGTATATATGGCATACCTTTATATACGGTTAATGTTGCCTTGAAATCCAATTGTTTGTTCGTCTTCCCAGCTACAGGAAAAAAATGTTGGATGACAGCTGCCTTGAGGAAGGGACTTTGACGTCAGACTATCATCAGTGTGGAATACAGATGTTGTGCCTTATCCTTTTCATTATGAGAATGCACAATATGTATTTTAAATATAATCAAGACTGACTGCAATAGGACAATTATTATTATTATTATTATTTTAAGATTTCATTTTATTTATTCATGAGAGACAGAGAGAGAGAGAGAAGCAGAGGGAGAAGCAGGCTCCCAAGGAGCAGGGAGCCCGATGCGGGACTCGATCCCAGGACCCTGGGATCATGACCTGAGGCGAAGGCAGACGCTCAACCATCTGAGCCACCCAGGCGCCCCTGCAATAGGACAATTATAATCATACAGTTCTTCAGTTGCAGTTCATCTTTCGATTTTTGTGTCATAGGGAAAGAAAGAGTCTTTAGAATTGGCCTAGAGCCACTGTAGATTTACTTTTGGTTTATGCCTTTTTTCCCCTTCAGATTTAGTAGTTAATTATTTTGATTAATCCTTCTGGAAATTTCTGTTGATATAGTGGTTTCAAAATTATCAGTTACTTTTCGAGCTTGAAGTGAAAATTTAGGAAAGGCTAATTGACTGTTGGCCTAATTCTCTTTTCTGTGAAGTTTGGGTGAGGATGAATGGGTGCTATGAAATGGCCCAGAGAGTCACTCTGAGCTCTCAGGGAGGCGCCGCCAGCTGGTCCTCATGCCAGCTTTTGCAGGTTTATTTTTCTGGCCACTCAGACTGTGCAGAGGCATTTTGCCATTTTGGAGAAACTGGGCGTAGTACAGAAGGAGGATCTAGGCTCTTTCATGGTAAAAATGGTTGTGGTTACACCCAGACTCTTCAGTCCAGTTTATTGTACATAGTCAAATAGTATAGCTATTTATATATCTTAAGCACGCGTGTTTTCAAGGTTTGCACCCGTTGTTCTAGAATAAAATTAACTTTTACCTGCTGAATTAAATTTTAATACTAATACAACTTCTAACACAATGATCAAATAGAAAGAACTTGTTTTCATGAAGACATTATTTCTTTTTTTCTTTTCAATGACTTATTTATTTTAGAGAGAGCAAGAGAGAGAGGGTGGTGGGGAGGGGCAGAGGGAGAGGGACAGAGAGTCTTAAGCAGACTCCACCCTGAGTGTGGAGCCTAATGCAAGGCTTGAGCTGACGACCCTGAGATCATGACGTGAGCTGAAACCCAGAGTCAGAAGCTTAACTGACTGCGCCACCCATGTGCCCCTAGACATTATTTCTTTTCTTGCACTTTAAAGAACTTAAACTTTTGGAGAACTTAAATGTTTGGGGGTTTTTTGGAAAAGCAATTACATTTTATTGATATTTGTTAATTTTTTAAAACTTGAGTATAGTTGACACACAATGTTACATTAGTTTCAGGTGTACAACATAGTGATTTAACAAGTCTATATGGAATGTTATACTCACCACCAGTGTAGCTACCATCTATCACCATAAAATGCTATTACAATATTAACCTACTATATTCCCTATGCTGTGCCTTTTATTCCTGTGACTTTTTCATTCCATAACTGGAAGCCTGTATTTCCCACTCCCCTCATCTCTTGCCAGTTTTATTCAACATAGTACTAGAAGTCCTAGCCACAGCGATCAGGCATGAAAAATAGAGGCATCCATATTGATTGAAGTTAAAAGAAGAAGTTAAACTATCACTATTTGCAAATGACATGATACTATACATAGAAAACCCTAAAAACTCCACCAAAAAACTATTAGAATAAATGAATTCAGTAAGGTTGTAGGATACAAAAATAATACCCAGAAATCAGTTGCATTTCTATACACTAATAATGAAGTAGCAAAAAGAGAAATTAAGAAAAGAACACTGTTTACATTTGCACCAAAAAGAATAAAATACCTAGGAGTAAACTTAACCAAAGAGGTAAAAGACCTGTATTCTGAAAAGTATAAAACACTGATGAAAGAAACTGAAGGTGACGCAAACAAATGGAAAGGTATTTCATTCTCATGGATTGGAAGAATTGATACTGTTAAAATGTCCATACTACCTAAAGCAATCTATAGATCCAATGCCATCCCTATCAAAATACCAACATTTTTCACAAAACTAGAATAATACTGAAATTTGTATGGAACTACTAAAGACCCCGAATAGTGGAAGCAATCTTGAGAAAGAAAAATAAAACTGGAGGTATCACAATTCCAGATTTCAAGATATATTTGTTAGTCTTTAAACTTGGTACATTACCGTCAACTTTTCAAATCCTGAAATTGCATTATACAAAGCAGTTGACTGGATATTATTTTTTAAATCCCATTTGGGACTGATACTACTATTTAATAAAGAAGGCCAGTCATTTTCATCTAAAAACATATACCTCATTTCAAAGAAACAGATGTTTTATTTTATTTATATGTAAATATATATGTAATATATTATGACTTTTTAATGTAGGTCAGAAGTTAACTTTTTATTAAGAAATTTTTTGGGCTAAAAAAAATTTTTTTTTTGGGCTAATTTTAGGTTATTGGGGTTAAGAAAAATAACAAGAGAAGACAAAATCATAATTTTCCATGAGGTGCATTTTTTATACACATGCTTCTTTATTTAGTTGAATTCTCAACTGTTTTGAAAAAAACAGAACTATTCTCTAAAAAAAAAAAAATCACCACTTTAGCCATTTTAAAGTGTGCAATTCAGTGGCTCTCAATGCATTTACAGTGTCATGCCACCATCACAACTATGTTTTCAGAATATTTTCATCACCTCAAAGAGAAACCCAGGAGCCATTAAGCAGTCACTCCTATACCCCATTCTATGTGTTGTCTTTTTACTTTCTCGATAATGTCCTTTGATGGACAAAAGTTTTTTAACTTTGATGAAGTACATTTTTTTTCTTTTGTTGATCATGATTTTGGTTTTATATCTAAGAATACATTGCCAAATCGCAGGTCATGAAGAAATCCCCTGTGTTGTGTCCAAAGAGTTTTACAGTGTTAACTCTTATATTTAGGTTTTAGTCCATATTGAGTTAATTTTTGTATATGGTATAATTCAAAGACTGAATTTCATTCTTTTACATGGCTATCCAGTCATCCTAGCACCGTTTATTTATTTAGTTTTCCAAATATTTTATTTATTTATTTGAGAGAGAGAAAGAGCACACGCACAAGCAGGGGGTGGGAGTTGGGAAGGGGCAGAAGGAGAAGCAGGATCCCAGGATCCTGAGATCACGACCTGAGCCGAAGGCAGATGCTCAACCACCTGAGCCAACCAGGCGCCCCATCCCAGCACCATTTATTAAAAAGACTTTTCTTGGAGCTCCTGGGTGGCTCAGTCATTAAGCGTCTGCCTTTGGCTCAGGTCATGATCCCAGGGTCCTGGAATGAGCCCCACATCGGGCTCCCTGCTCGGCGGGAAGCCTGCTTCTCCCTCTCCCACTCCCCCTGCTTGTGTTCCCTCTCTCGCTGTGTCTCTCTCTGTCAAATAAATAAAT